GTCAACATGACACACCTGGTGTGGCAGCTTGAGCAAGAACTGTCCCTCACGGGCTGTATATTTGAACACCTGGCCCATGAATCCTTTGCTTTCGTGGCCTCTTTCATAATTTGCGTGGATCATGGTGTTTCATCACAGCAACAGAAAAGTAACCAACACACTTGGGAAGAGAGAACTTGAGTGGAGGAGTTGCTCCCATCCATTGCCCATCCCATTGTCTTTGGGGCAGTTTCTTGATTGGTAATTGATGCAGGAGGGCCCATCCCATTGTAGGCGCCATCATCCTTAGACAGGTAGGCCAGGGTTACATAAGAAAAGAGGCTGAAGGTGAGTCTGGAATAAGCCAATAAGCAGTGGGCCTCACTGGTTTCTACTCAGCCCTTGTCTTGGTTTCCCATGACGGAGTTTAACTTGTAAGTCAAGCAAACTTTTTCCTCCCCCAAGTTGGTCTTGGTTTGTTTTATCTTAGCAACAGAAAACAAACTAGGACAGACTCAGTGCTGAAGTTGGTTCTCACTGTCCACCATTTGGGTTCCATGGTCCAATTCTGGTCTTCAGGATTAGCATCAGTAGCCTTTACCCTCTGAGCCATCTTGTCTCTGCCTTTCCCTTTTTTGTGGAAACAGGGTCTCATGCATCCCAGGCTCCTTGAGTGTTGGTTTATTGGGGACTGGGGATGGAACCCAGGGCTTCATAAATGCTAGGTGTCTTAGAGTTTTTATTGCTGGGAAGAGACACCATGACTATAGCAACTCTTTCTTTTTTTTTTTTTTTTTTTTTGGTTTTATGAGACAGGGTTTCTCTGTATTGTTTTGGAGGCTGTCGGTCCAGCCTGGCCTCGAACTCACAGAGATCCGCCTGCCTCTGCTTCCCGAGTGCAGATAAAAGGCATGCACCACCACCGCCCGGCGCAACTCTTTCTTTTAAAGATTTATTTATATTTATTATGGATACAGTGTTCTGCCTGCAGGAGAGGACACGAGATCTCATTTAGAATGGTTGTGAGCCGCCATGTGGTGGCTGGAAACCAAACTCAAGTCCTCTGGAAGATCAGCCAGTGCTCCTAACCACTGAACCATCTCTCCAGCCTCTCACACCAACTCTCATAAAGGAAAACATCTCATTACAGTGGTGACTTACAGTTTTAGGGGTTTAGTCCAGTATCGTCAGAGTGGGGAGGATGGAGGTTTGGAATATGGCAGTGTGCAGGCAGACATGGTGCTAAAGAGTTCTACATCTTGATCCAAAGGCAACAGGAAGTGACCTGTACATGACTTGAGCATATGAGACCTCAAAGTCCACCTCTACGCTGACACATTTCCTCCAAAAAGGCAACACCTACTCAAACAAGGCTATACCTCCTTACAGTGCCACTTCCTTTGGGGACCGTTTTCATTCAAACCACCACACTAGATAAACAGAGCTGCATCTCCAACTCCTCTGTCAGCATTTTTTTTTTTTTTTTTGGTTTTTCGAGACAGGGTTTTTCTGTATTGTTTTGGAGGCTGTCCTGGAACTCGCTCTGTAGACCAGGCTGGCCTCAAAACGAACTCACAGAGATCTGCCTGCCTCTGCCTCCGGAGTGCTAGGATTAAAGGCGTGTGCCACCAATGCCCGGCTCTGTCAGCATTTTTTAAGCCAGGACATTCCCTGACAGGATTTAAGGAGGCCACATCTCCTATTGTGTTATCGAAAGAAAGCTACTTGGGAGCCGGAGAGGTGGCTCTGCGGTGAAGAGAGGCAGTTGCCCCTGCAGAGGACCCTTGCTCAGAGTCCATAACTCCAGTTCTGGTGTTCTGATACCCTCTTCTGGTCTCTGCAGGCACTGCACATGAAGGGTACACATACATACACATAGGCAAAACCCTCATACATATAAAAAGTGTGAAGATTATTTATAACTCAATCACACTTTATTTAATTATTTTGTGTGTTTCTGTATTTGTGTGTACATATGCATGCCACAACATATGTATGGAACCCATGATGATTGTGTTCTCCTCTCCAACCGAGTGAAACCCAGATACTATATTAGTAAGGCAAAAGCAAAGTTTTCTATTTTCTAAAAATTTTTTTACATTTATTTTATTTTATGTGAATGGGTTTTTGCCTGCATGTATTTCTGTGTGCCTGGTACCCAAAGAGGTCAGAAAAGAGTGTTAAAACCCCTGAAACTAGATGTTGGGGGTGGTACCATATAGGTGTTGGGAATTGAACCTGGCACAAAAAAACAAATAAAGAAAGTATTTTGATCAAAATGACAGTTTGGAGGCTGAGGCTCAGTTGATAGAGTACTAGTCTAGCATTCATGAAGCACTGGGTTCAATCCCCAGTGTCACATAAACCACGTGTGTTGACATACACCTGTAATCCCAGCAGTCGGGGAAGTAGAGACCATCCCGGGCTACCTGGGACCCTGCCTCAAAAACAAAAGGTGTACTAAAGTGTTGTTTCTCAAAAGACACTACCAAGAAAAGGAGAAGCATGCTAGTTGTGTGACACACTTCTTTAATCCCAGCACTCGGGAGGCAGATTTCTATGAGTTCAAGGACAGTCTGATCTATAAAGCAAGAGTTACAGGACAGTCAGGGCATTACATAGAGAAACCTTGTCTCAAAAACAAGAGAAGAGAGGGGGGGGGAGGAAAGCCCCAGCATGAGATAGAATACCCTGAGTCTTAGCTGTTAATGGACTAATATCAAGAATATATAATGAGTTGCTAAAATGTGGGAAAAACAAAAATCGCCAATAAGATTATACAAATTGCTGGGAAACCCAGATGTTCAGGAGGCTGTGGTAGGGTTGCCAGCTAAGGGTCAGCTTGGGCAATATAATGAGAAGCTGTTTTGAAAACAAAATAATGGGCAGGGCTAGGGAGATGGTTCCATTAGTAAAGAAACTTGCGTTGAAAGCATGAAGACCCATGTATAGCACCCAGAACCTATTAAAAATGGGGGATGTGTCAGTGGTGCACGCCTTTAATCCCAGCACTCAGGAAGCAGAAGCAGGTGGATCTCTGTGAGTTTGAGGCCAGCCTGGTCTACAGACCCAGTTCCAGGACAGGCCCCAAAGCAACACAGAGAAACCCTGTCTTGAAAAAAAAAAAAAAAAAAAAAAAAGGGGATGTGGTATGAGGTAATAATACTCCCATAATGGCCACAGACAGTCTAACAAAAACCCCAGCCAGCACCAGGCACAGAAATCTCCATCTGAGTTGTTGGTCAGGGATGTGGTGGAGGCCGGGGGTGGGGGTCTCAACAGTTTCCTTCCAGAACTTGGAAGACGCCATACATTTCAGATACAGGACTTAGAGGAATGGAGCAGGAACTGACCTGGAAGCCTCTTCCCCGACAACTAGCTCTCGTAGTATCAGAAAGTACTATGCAAACTGCCAAGGACAATAAGTGATCACTAGTCCTCCCCAGCTGTAAAGCCTACAAACGACAACAATGCCCAGCCTGGCAGGGCAGCCGCCACGTTGCAATGGTAGCAGGTTTAAAATGAATAAACAACAGCTGTTTAATTGGATTTAAAGCACTCTTTTTTTTTTTTTTTTTTTTTTTTTTTGCGAGACAGGGTTTCTCTGTATTGTTTTGGAGGCTGTCAGCCTCTGCTGGGATTAAAGGCGTGCGCCACCACCGCCCGGCTTTTTTTCTTTTTTTCTTTTTCTTTTTTTGGTAAAGCCCTCTTAATGGGAGAATTCATGCCTAATCCAATATAATTTTTAACCATAGCCTATTATCCACAGGTAAATATAGCTCTCACCTATTAGTTTTCTTCTGTTGCTATGACAAAATAGTGAAACTAACTTGAGGAAGAAGGTTTTAGTTCATCCTTCAATTCCCAGGTTATAGTCCGTCACTGAAGAAGTCAGGGCAGGAATTCAAGACAGAAACCTGGAAGCAGGAATTGGAGCAGAAGTCATGGAGCACTGTTTATTCGCTTGCTCTCCATGGCTTGCTGGCTTGTTTAGCTCAACCTGTCTTTTTGTTGGTTGTTTGTTTGTTTGTTTTCGAGACAGGGTCTATTCACCCCTGATTGCCTTGGAACTAGCTAACTAGACCAGGCTGGTCAACATGTTCACAGGTCAATCTGATGAAGGAAACTTTTCAATTGAAGTGGCCTCTTGTCAAGTGACTCTAGTTTGTGTCAAATTGTCAAATACTGCCCAGCACACTGTCGTAAAAGAGGCTGCTTTTTGCAGCGGTTGGGAGCAGTTACAGAGATCCATAACTAGTCAAAATGCAGAGAGTAAGGGGTCGTGGAGGTGTCCTGGAGCAACATTTGTAACTATAGTGAAACCCCTACACCTACCCCAGTGGAAATTGTGGAAGAGTGGACAGAGTGTAAGAGCCAGAATGTGAGAATGGAGAATGTCTGTCAAGATGTAGTATCTTCTAGACATGGTAGGGAAGCTGCAAGCATGAAATCTCAACAATACGGTTGCCTAAGCAAGATCTGCAGAGTGACAGCGTGGACGGGAGGAATTCCACAAGGCCTTACCCCTAGATGAAGAGCTACAGGCATCAACCGCTGCTGAGAAGTGGAATCTGTCTCAAGAAAAGAGTCCCCTGATAGGTTACCCAGTCCCGAAGCCAGTCCCAAACACCTAGACACATGAGCAACACTCGGTGGGTTCTGCAGGATCTACATGAAGAGTTTGTGAATTTTGTTTTTGAGCCAGGGTTCCACGGAGCCCAGTCTGTCTTCGAACTCTCTATGTATATTGAGAGTGGCTTTGAACGCCTGATCCTCCTGCCTCCACCCTCTAAGTGATGGGATTACAGACGTGGGACTCCAGTCTCGGTTTCCAACCCAGGCCTTCGTGCATGTTCGGCAAGCGCTGCAACCTCTGCCTCGTGGTTTATTTTCAATCGGCTTTAGAAAACTTTTCAGTTTGCGGCCAGGAGGTGGCGCTCGAACCCGCCCAATTCCAGACACCAGGGCGTGCTGGTCTTTGCTGCGCTTCCTGCCTCCTCTACTTCCGCTTCCGAGAGGCGCTTGGGAGCGTCACTTCCGGCATCTCCGCGTGGACCCGCTAGTGAGGCTCCTCCAGCATGGCGGAGTTAGCTAGTCCCGCCAAGCCGACTCTGGCGCTGAACCCGCAGGAAGACTTGCAGTTTCAGAAGGAGGTGACGCAAGTCAAGCAGCGCGTGAAAAAGGTGAGCGGACGGGCGGGCGCTCCGGCCCGGAGGAGGTGGCGGGGCCGAATGGGGAGCCGGCCTCTCACACGCTTGAAGACTGAGGCAGGTCGGGCATCAGTGTGAGGTTTGGCTCTTTAGGCCCCCCAGGACTCGCGTGGAGGCGAAGAGGTGCCACGTGTAGGAGCTTGACACATCCAGCCCTCGGGATAAGTTGAAGCTGCCACACTTCCGCTTTGGCCCGCAAACTGAGGGTTCCGTGGGTCCCCGCAGCACTCGGGAGGTGTGCGCGTCCCCTTGCGTTGGAGTGCTTAGAAGGCGGAATTAGCATCCCAAACCCCAGCACTCGGGAGGGGGAAGCAGGAGGATCGAGAGTCAGATGGCGTGGACTACACATTCAGACCGGGGCTTAGCCAGAGAAACAGACCTTGCCTGGCGGTGGTGACGCACGCGAGGCAAAGGTAGGGTGAGCTTCTCAGTTCCAGGACAGCCAGGGCTACACAGAGAAACCCTGTCTTGAAAAGAAAGAAAATAGAGACGCGTCAAGCACCATTTGCCCACAGTGGCCCCTAACAAGAGTTTATATTCCCTTTGGTTTCTAGGGTGTGAAGTGCACCCGAGAAAATGAAAGGTTTTCCTTGTTGTTGGGGGGAGGATCTTTTGGGGAGGGTTTTGTTTACTTTTTTTTTCCAAAACAGGGTTTTTCTATATTACTTTGGAGCCTGTCCTGGAACTCTCTCTGTAGACCAGGCTGGCCTCGAACTCAGAGAGATTGGCCTGCTTCTGCCTCCTGGATGCTGGGATTAAAGGCGTGGGCCCCCAGCTGTTTGTTAATTTTTTAATGTCACTACAGGGTCTGCTGGAGCCCGAGGTTGCCTTAAATTTACCGTGCAGCTGAGGCCTTGAATTCTTGTATCCACCCTCTGAATTTCAGCTGGGATTGCAGGCCTGGCTCACTGCCTGGGTTAAGAGTATGGTGGCAGAGAAGTGCAATCTGCATTGTGAAGGTTAACAACTGGACCTAGGTGTGAATAAACTCTGCATTCAGGGTTGAAGGTGTCAGGTTCAAAGTGGCAGTGACAGACATTGGCTTGCTTGTCCATTCACTCACAGTAGAGTTAGCTCCCAACACTTGTACTGAGGTGATAGACTGAGACTTTGGGGGGGTGTGATTGTGGATACGTGTGTCCGTGATGTTCGTCATTGGTGCGTGTGTAGGTCGGAAGACAACCCTTGGGAGTCTGTCTCTTGTACTGTGGCTCCCTGCAATGGTGCCATTTTGCTGCCCTCAAGAAAACCATTGGCAGCCCAGCAGTTTTCCTTAAGGGAAGAGAGACATCAAACGCTAGCTCTGTGATAGAGATGTGAGTAGGTCCCTGAACCAAAGGGAGTGAAGGGTTTTGAAAGCCTTATTTGCAAGCTAGGCAAGGTGATAATATATATCTTCAGTCCTGGTGCTGTGGAGGCGTAGGCAGGCAGACCTCGATCCTAAAAAGACTGTAGATTTTTTTTTTTTTTTTTTTTTGGTTTTTCGAGACAGGGTTTCTCTGTATTGTTTTGGAGGCTGTCCTGGAACTCGCTCTGTAGACCAGGCTGGCCTGGAAATGAACTCACAGAGATCTACCTGCCTCTGCCTCCCAAGTGCTAGGATTAAAGGCGTGCGCCACCAACGCCCGGCTACTGTAGAATTAATATCCCTTAAAGGGCATGGTGGAGGGGGCCTTTTATCCCAGCATGCAGGAGTTAGAGGCCACCCTGGTCTACATGGTGAGTTCCAGGCCAGACAAAGTTCATAGTGAGACCGAGTTCAGATAAGTACACAGTGCACTCAGTACATTTTGGTTCGGTATGAGTTTGTGTTTTTAAAGTGTTTTTCTGTTGTTTTTGTCCTCAGCAAAAGGAGGAGGGAAATCTTAACCCTGGAGTGATCTTTCTGGGCCACCTGCCGTCAACACTGTCTGAAACCCACGTCTATGACTACTTCTCCCAGTTTGGCACTATTAGCAGGTTCAGGTTGTCCAGAAGTAAACGGGTGAGATTATGTGTCTGAACTCAGCTATGTGTGGTTTTGTTTTTCCATTGTATGTCATCTTTTGTGTTCATGGGCACAACATTGTTACCTGAAAAGTTCGCCCTCAAGAACTTTTCACGAGCTGGGCATGGTGGTACACACCTTTAATCCCAGCACTTAAGGAAGCAGAGGTCAGCAGATCTCTGTGGCATTCAAAGCCAGCCCCACTTATGTCATGAATTCCAGCACAGCCAGGGATATGTAAGGAGAGCCTGACCATAAATAAGCATAAACCAAATAACTTCACAATATGCAGTGTGAACTCGGCACAGTGCTGTGCAACTTTAATCCCAACACTGGGAAGCAGAGGCAGGCACATCTGTGAGTTTGAAGCCAGGCCACAGCTGCATAGTGTGGAATCCTGTCTCGGTAAAAAGAAAGAAGAAATCAGGAGGCTGGGGAGATAGCTCAGTCTATAACTCTCAATCTACAGAACCCAGGTCAAAAGCCAGGTGTGGCCATGTACACTTGTAATCCCAGCGCCAAGAAGCCAGCCTCGCCCAACTCTGGGCTAGTGAGAAGATGTTTCAAAATTCAAGGTGTTTGGGGACTAGGAAAATGACTTCATGATAAGAGCGCTTTTGCTGTAAGTATGGGGTGGCATACGCACACATAGCAACCTGAAGACAGGTTCTTTTACTGTTCTCATTTCATGGAATGACAGTCTGAGGCTTACATGTTACTTCACATGAGTTGGGTGTCCACACCAGAATCAAAGTGTAGGCATTTGAATTCTAGACCCCCATACTACACTTAAGACTGATGTGGGTAAGAAAATGCACTTGTGGGCAGGGTTAGGAATTCAAGGCCTGTGTTTCAGGTACTGTTGACATGTTCCTTTCCCTGAACTGTAAAATCAGTGTCGGTTTCTTGGTGAGCCTCATGATACTGGAGAATTGACTATTTCCACCCTTAAACATGTGAAATGAGGCTGTGCTGTCTGCATTTTCCTATCTATACTTGGGCCTGAACCCAGGACATGATAGGTAAGCACTAGGTGACACTCCTGTTTTATTTTTGAGACAAAGTCTTAACTAAGTTGCCTAGAATGGCATAACTAGACTCACAAGATCCGCCAGATCCTCCTGCCGCAACCTCCTCTGTAACTAGGATTACAGGTGTGCCCAGAGTGCTGTGTTCTCAATGAGACAATAAGAAGAGTCCAGTACTGTGGGAACCCAAAGATGGCCTTCTTACCACCAGGAATTGCTGTTGAATGCATCGTAGCCAGAATTATCATCTTACTGAGGGGGATTTTAAGAATAGCAGAAATTGCTGGGCGTTGGTGGCGCACGCCTTTAATCCCAGCACTTGGGAGGCGGAGGCAGGTGGATCTCTGTGAGTTCGAGGCCAGCCTGGTCTACAAGAGCTAGTTCCAGGACAGCCTCCAAAGCCACAGAGAAACCCTGTCTCGAAAAACCAAAAAAAAAAAAAAAAAAAAAAAAAGAATAGCAGAAAATCTGTTTATTCCAAGTTGTGATTGTCATGGGTGTTTTCTTTTTGTAAAACAGTTCCAGAATGTATGGAGTAGGGTTGGAGTTGAAGTGGTGTCTCCTGGGCACCCAAAGGGACATGTTAAGAGCTTAGTGACGTGTTGGGTTTTTTTGTTGTTGTTTTGGGAGGGGTTGTTTTTGTTGGTGGTTTTTGTTTGTTTGTTTTTGAGACAGGGTTTCTCTGTGGCTTTGGAAGCTGTCCTGGAACTAACTCTTGTAGACCAGGTCCGTCTGGAACTCACAGAGATTAAAGGTGTGCACCACCAACACCCAGTGACGTATTAGATTTAACTGCTCTTTCTGTGGGTTTTCTGCTGCAGACTGGAAACAGCAGAGGATATGCCTTTGTGGAGTTTGAGTCTGAGGATGTTGCCAAGATAGTTGCAGAAACAATGGACAACTACCTTTTTGGTGAAAGACTTTTATCATGTAAGTACTCTGTCTCTACACTGATGGGGTTAAGCATGGACTTGTTCTTGGGAAGAAGTGTTACCCATCCTTAATAGGTGATTAAAATAGAAAATTGGTGCCTACCATGGTGGCACACGCTTTAATCCCAGCAGATGGGGTGTGCAGGCAGATTTGTTTCCAAAAAAGAAAAGGGGAGATACTGACATTTGAGGGGCATTGGCCAGGTAAGGGGATGGCGCAGACCGAGGTCATCTCTGACCGAAAGGGTGGTAAATGCCAAACCAGGACTGACTGGTGTTCAGTTGTTGAGGAATGTAAGGGAACCAGAATGGGGGAGGTAGGTTACAGGTTAGATTCTTGACACCCATAAAACTCATTGGGTACAGCCTATTCATGGTGTCTAAATGGGATAACACCAAAAAAAAGGAAAAAAGGAATCCTGTTTCAGAGTCAGACTCAATGACATTGGATGCAGCGCTGGCGGCCAGCCTGGCTCCATGTTCAGTAGGAGACTGAAGGAAACAGGCAGAGTGGTGAAGCGGAAAACCATGTGCCCTCCTCCTGCTCTGCACAAATGCACTCATCCAGACACACGTGCATTCACTGTACACAGAGCCAGCTGCAGCCGCTGACTTCTGTGTTCCATCCCAGGACACCCATGGTAGACTGTGGCCCCCACCTGCATCAAGGCGTGTGAACCCACACACATGCGTTTGCATAGAGTTTTAAAAAGTTATTTGCTGCCATGTAATTAGTTCATACCACAAGAAATGGCCCTAGGGTCTCTTCCTGCTTCTCTTCCCCCAACCCAGACTCCCCCATCCCGTGCTCCTCGCTGTCCTCTCTCTGTCTCTTTACCTCTTTTCTTTCTTTCTTTTTTAGACCAGGCTGGCCTCGAACTCACAGAGATCCGCCTGCCTCTGCCTCCCAAGTGCACCATACCCAGCCTCTTTACCTCTTTTCTTTCCTTCCCTCGCCTTTCTAATAACTTTAAAAAAAGAAAGAAAGAAATGGCCCTAGGAAAAATAAAAAATCAAAGTTAAGATCCTTTCCTTTTTGTTTTGTTTTTTTGTTTTTCTTTTTATATATAGGTAAATTCATGCCACCAGAAAAAGTCCATAAGGACCTCTTTAAAGACTGGAATGTTCCATTTCATCAGTCATCATTTCCTTCAGTGAAACGCTATAATCAGAAACGGGGTCATTTTCAAATGTTAAAGATGGAATATCGGTTCAAGAGGAAGGAAAAATTACTCCGGAAGAAGCTAGCTAAGAAGGGGATTGATTATAGTTTTCCTTCGCTGGTAAGTGTCCATTCCTAAGGTTTTCTCAGTGGTTTCTCTCTGGGGTGGGAGTTCTACCTCACTAGCTGTGTAAAGACTGTTCTGGTGCTTCTCACATGCTAGGTTTGGGGTATAGGGCATGTTGATTGGCAACCGGGCTAGGCTCTGCTCATGCTAGGCAAGTGGTCTGTTACTAAGTACTCTCCAGTCTGTGGTAAGGTTTTCACTAAAACTTGGAAGCACTGCATTGTGGGTTCTCTTTAATGTTGATGGTACTGAGGATGGAACCCAGAGCATTGAGCATGCATCATCCATACATCCCACCCCCAAACTGTCCCCCACTAGAGAAAGAAATCTCACTGAGTTGCACGGACTGGTTTGAATGCAGTTTCTCCTGCCTCTGCCCCTTGGCTTCCTGGGTGAATAGGTGGCTTATAGCCCCACATAGGCAGCAGCTACTGCTGCTGCTGATGGTGTTAAGACAAGGTCTTTGTTCCAAGCTGGCATCAGACTTGTTATGCGTTCTGAGTGCTGGGATCCAGGTTTGTGTGGTTCTGAGGGTATAACCTGGGGCTTTAGGTATGCTGCTTCATATGGACTACATCCCCAGGCTCCTGCCAGCTCTGCTCCTGCTGTGTACAAGTGGATACCAGGCACCTCAGAGGCCAGAAGAGAGCATTGAACTAAAACTCTAGTGTATAGATAGTTGTGAACCATCATGTGGGAGCTGGGAATGAACCTGGGTCCTCTGAGAGAGCAGCCAGTGCTCTTAATTGTTGAACCATCTCTAGTCCCCAGTGGGTTGTTTTGTTTTTGTTTATTTTTTTTAAGCCAGGGTCTTACTACATGATCTAGGCTCCCCCACAAATTGGAGATCCTTCTGCCTCAGCCTTCCAAGTGCTGTGATTATAAGCATGGCATACCTGTGTTATAGCAAAGCCTTTCCCTGGTTACATTTGAACTATTTGGCAACTGGACTTTGATGTTCAAAATAGGCATTTGGCTACAGCATATTCATATAGCTGATAAATGTGCAAACTGTTTATTTGCAGGTCTTACCTAAGCTGAAGAAAGAGGGCACTCTTAGTACCCCTGAGGATTCCAAGGAGTCTGAGGGTACCCAGGTGAGATCAACTCGATAATGGCCACTGGTTACTATAGAAATACTTTCAGGAACGTTGGCAGATGGCTTGGAATGAAGGCATTTACTTAATCTATTCAATCTCTGGGTCTCATTGAAGGAAGGAGCAGACACGGTAGTTTAAAACAAATTTTAAGGCAAATTACCTGAAAAAAAGTAATTTCTGACTAGGCAGTGGTGGCACACGCCTTTAATCCCAGCCCCCCCAAAAAAGAGAAAGTAATTTCTGCTACTTTGTTTTTTGTTGTTGTTAAGACTGCAGTTGGGGGCTAGAGAGATGGCTCACAGTTAAGAGCGCTGACTGTTCTTCCAGAGGTCCTGAGTTCAATTCCCAGCAACCACATGGTGGCTTGCAACCTCCTTGAATGAGATCTGGTACCCTCTGCTGGCATGCAGGCAGAAGATTTTATAAATAATAAATAAATAAAATATTTTTTAAAGAGATGTAAGTTCTCAGATTAAAAAAAAGAGTTCAGTTGAAAGTGGGGGGTTGAGACCTGGTGATCTTATGTAGCCCAAGTGAAGCCCCAACTTTGTATGTTCTGAAGATGAAAATCTCATCCTCCTGCCTCCCACATTCCTAGTGCTGGGGCTGTGGTTTATGCCACTGTAAAAGTCCTGGCTGTCCTGGCGCTCACTCTATAGACCAGGCTGGCCTCGAATTCACAGAGATCCACCTGCCTCTGCCTCCCGAGTCCCAGGACTGAAGGTGTGCGCCACCATTGCCCGGCGGGTGCATTGTGGGTTCTTAAAAGCTTAAAATTAGGTGGAGAGATGACCAGTGAGAAAGAGCACTTGCTATGCAAATACGAGGACCTGAGTTCAGATCCCAGTACCTACATAATTCCAGGTCTAGCATATATGTTCATGTACATGCCTGCAACCCCAGGAAGAGGAGGGACATGGACACATAAGGCTGGCCACCAGCCTAGCTTCGGGTTCAGTGAGAGACTTTGTCTTGGGGAAACAAAACAATGATGGAACAGGACACCAGTGCCCTTCTGCCTGCATCTGGCATACACAGACAATTGTGAGCCACCGTGGGTGCTGGAAACTGAACTAGGTTCTCTGGAAGAGCAGCCAATACTGAGCCATCTCTCAGCCCCTTGGTCTTTATTATCATGCCATTCTAGTTAAGATTTTGCTTCTTATTCTTTTAAATTGGAAATGTTCTTAAAATCAACTCATTCTGACATGAGCATCAATTCTGTGATAGATTTCAAAAGAATGTGTGTGGGTTGAACTACAGCAACTCCAGGAACAAGAAGTGGGTGAATTGCAGAGGTATTTTTCTGGCTCTAAGTCCCTTGCCAGTCAGGAGATGGGGAAACTGGCTGGACCTTACCCTCCACTGCAGTAGGAAGTACCAGGGTCTTTCACTATAAAATACGAATTTTTCTAAGACACTTAGTGGTTGAGAGATGGTATCTGTTTCCAGGCTTATTAGACTTCCTCAGAAGCTAGGTGTCATCTCTTTGCCACAGTCCCAGTTTTTTAAAGTCACAGAAGCACTGCCAATACTTGGGGTCAGGGTGTGATGTGTAGTCTCAGCTGGGATTATAGACATGCACTATAATATTGGGGTTTTAGCCAAGCCTTTAGCCTGCTGGCATGAACCAGCTTAAAGACAGGCTTACAGCTATAGCAAGTGTGTAGCTGAGAAGTGTATAAACTATTTAACTCCTAACCTTTATGTTTAGGTTTTGCATGTCCCAGGAGAAAGGCTTTCAGGTATACCTAAGAAAAAGTCGAAGAAGATGTTGAGGAGAATTCTCAAAAGCATTCGTAACAGGCAAAATAGGCAAAAGAGGCAGTCTAAGACGTCTGTAGACAGCCAGGTGAGTATGTTCTCATGTTCTGGGAGCCTGTTACTGTAGTCATGGTTTGAAGGAGGAAAAGCAGGCACTGCTATTCCATTCAGTGGGGCTGGGTGAGTTTCTGAGGTTTCCTGTTTTTGATTATTTGACACAGGTTCTCATGTAGTTCAGGTAGTTATCCACCTCACATTGTGGCCATACTAACTTCTGATCTTCCTGCCCCGTCCCTACTTCCTGGAAACTGACATAACAACCACAGACCATCAATTTGACTCAATACCAGATTGAATCTTGTGGCATGTTGGTATATTCCCTCACTTAACAACTTAGTATTTAATATCTTATAATAAACGGTATCCACTCAACGAATTTGCATACTAAGCTCCTAAAGTCTCTGACTGTCTTCAGTTGTGTCAGCAGGAGATAAAAAACAGACCAAAAATAGTTCATGTGGCACAACTTAAAATTGGGAGGATAGTGGTGTTGGGTGGTCATTCCTGATAAAGATAGGAGAGTGGTGATGTTGGGTGGTGTTCTAGATGCCTGTTCTTAGTCCTGTACTTTAATGTACTTACTGATTTCAGGGTCCCACACCAGTTTGTACACCAACATTTTTGGAGAGACGAAAATCAGAAGTGATAGAAGTCAATGACAGTAAAGATAATGAAATTATTTTCAAGCAGCCTGTGTCCACAGTGAAGGAAGAGGGACAAAAGACTCCAACAGCTGCACGCTCTGGGAGAAAAAGACCAAGAAAAAGGAAGAGCAACCAGTGATCCTGAAAGCATTCTGTGTGTACATCTGGGCAGATGTGATTTTGTTATAAAGGCCTACTTTATTTTACCAGGTGCAGTCATGTGCGAGCCACTGATGAGACTGGTGGAGGAAAAACATGTTGGTTCATGCCAATGAGGAAAGCCATCAGGAACTTGACTGTTTTGCCCTCTCCTGACCTGAGTTTGAATTTGGGTTTCACAAGCCCCTTAGTTTACTCTGCCTGTGTTATCTTACAGGCTTAGACACCACCAGCAACCTTTGCTGGCCCCACCAATGCTGTTTGACTGTATGGTGGTTGTGCACATAAAACCCAAAAGAATATGTCAGGCTTCAACCTCAGACCTCTGAAACTGGAAGTTAAATACACATTTGAAGAGTGAGAAGGCAGTCCAAGTGTAAATACAGATTTGCACAAGTATTGTGAGGATCTGGAATAACGTTTTTACCCAAGCTAGTATAGGGTTAACAGATCAGTTTCAGCAGGTATATTCAAAATCCAAACAGTGACCAAACTTTTCTACAATTTGTGTACAGGAAACCTAAGAACTTTGGGGGCAGGGATGCTCTATCACTGTTTCTGTGCCCCGTCTGTGCTTTTGTATTGCTAATACAGGATTGTTAAGTATACCTGTCATCATTGAGCATTCTTTTCATCCAGGTGTGGCGTGTGGGAGTACACAGACCCAAAGGGGAGAGCCACTGTCTTTCATCACTGCCTCTTACTCATTTGAGATAGGATTCTGTTATTTTTGTTTTGTTTTTTGAGACAGGGTTTCTCTGTGTAGCCCTAGCTGTCCTGGACTCTGTAGGCTTCAAGGTCTCTACCTCCCAACTGCTGAGATTAAATGCATGAATCATCACCACCCAGTCTGAGATAGGACTCCTAATGAACCTGACTTCAGGCCATAACACAGAGCACCTTGATGGCCTGGTGCTGAGTTCAGGACCTAGGTGAACACATTCTGAGTGTGAGAGCCTCTCCCATTCACCAGCAGACACTAGTTTTCTGATGTTTGTTTAAGCTAATGACTGCAACTTAGAATCAAGGCGGTAGGTATGTCATGGTTTAAATGCTTATATCTTTTGTGTGTGATGTAAGCCAAACTGTTTCTTCTTCAGTCAGTTCACCTAGTATATGTATATGTCTGATGTTAGAGGAGAAGGAGCATGTGCTCTGGCATGTATGTGGAAATCAGAACAACTCTTCTGACGGGTTTTCACAGAGTTCACCAGCAAGCCTGAGATCTTTTTTTCTGCCCAGGGATTCATCACCAAGCCTGATTCTTCTCTGTGGGTTCTGAGGATCAAACTTAACTCTTCATGCTTGTGTGTGACAAGTACTGTGTTATCTTCCCAGCCCTGTTTTAATTTGTTGAGGCAGTCTCACATTTCCCAGACTCACTGTGACCGTCCTGCATCTGTCTCTGGGTATGTGCCACCTTACCTGGCATCTCCCCTCCCCACTTACTGAGGATTGTACCTAGGCCCTCCTCACTCTACCACTGATCTGTATCCTCAAACTTAGGAAGTGGTTTTTAAATGATGTCTTAGGGATGCTGTGAAAACCATGAGCACAGCAACTCTTGTGAAAGGAAACGTTTAATTGGGGTGACTTACAGTTTCAGAGGTTTAGTTCATTATGGTGGGATGTAGTGCTGGAGAGGTAGCTGAGAGTTCTACACCTTGTGCAGGCAACGGAGTGAACTGAGACACTTAGTGGTATCTTGAGCATGTATGAGACTGCAAAGCCTGCCTCTACAGTGACACTTGCTCCAAGACCATACCTATTAATAGTGCCACTACCTTTGGGGGCCATTTTCACATTTGTCATTGTACTTTATGTATTGTGATGTCCTCTGGCCTCAGCACATGGACATCTGCATTTATTGAGATCGTGTTTAGGGAGTGGCATCTACTTGGCTACAACCAGAAACAAAATCTCATTACATGTGGTCATCAACAGTCTAGTGCTGATTTGGATAATACTGGAAACCCCTTCACCTCTACAAAAATTAATGTGAGCATTCTTACCTAAGGTAAAACAAAAGGGAAGCTGGAGAGACAGCTGAAGCGTACAGCACTTGTCCTCCAGAGGAAGTAGGTTTGACTCCCAGCACCCACAATTGTCTCTAACTACCCTGTCCTGGCCTCCAAGGGCACCAAGCAACAAATGTGTGCATGTGTACATGCAGGCAAAGTATCCACAGATACAAAACTCAACAGGGTCGTCGCAGTGCTGCATTGGGCACAGTAGACCATTGTGTCGCCCCAACACTCAAATGTGACATGGCTCATTTTGATGTCACCAAAGAGGATATAATTCACGCTCCATCGTGTCACTGTGTGGCGTTGGCATTGTGATAGCTCAGGGCTCTGTTGTGATATGACTGTCCCATAGACACTAGAATGTCCACTAATGACAAGATGGTCCTCCACATGTGCCACTGCATCGCCAAGTGCAATGTGATTACTGTGTTTCCACTCTGATTGTGACACCACAGTGTTGAATGGTGACATCACAGGACATCACATACCACCAACAATTGGGACATTGTAAAGCACTATTTTGACATAGCAAAATCCCGCTGAGACATTTTTTGTTTGCTTATGATGTCACAATCCACAAACACTATGTTGAAATGCTTCACTGTGACCATGAACTGAATTTTGGTTATTCAGTGCTGGGCATGGTGCTGTGCATTGTAATCCTGGGGTAGGGGACCGTTTTGAGAGCAGCCTGGGTTACATGGTAGAATCTGTTTAAAAACAAGGAAAACAACCTGGAGACTAGCTTTGTAGCATGTCTGGTAAGCTTGCATCCCTGGGGTTCATTCCCGGCACCAAAAATTGGCCATGGTGGTGCGCCAAGGAGGCAAGAGTATTGGAAGTTAAGATCATCCCAGCTGTATAGTGAGCTAAGGCTGGCCTTGCATGCAAGAAACCTATTCCAAAAAAGGGAGGTGGGGCATAGTATGAAAGACTGTACCCTTGAGTTCTCATGTAAGTACTCAAGTATGTGATTGTTCTGATAGTGTTTTACACTGTTTAGTGTTTATGTGGCTCAGACACTGTTGTAAGCACTTTAAGTGTCTTAGCTGCTTGTTTTTCCTTTCGGTATGGGAGTGGGAGATGTCCTTCCCAAGTCTTGATTTCCCTTCTTTCTGCTGTGCTATGTTCTCCAGGCTAGCTGGCCCATGAGCTGATGGGTGGTTCTCCTTTCTCTGTCACTTCACTGAGTGCTGGAATTACAGGTGCACAAACAACACTGCATACAGCTTTCTATGTGGTCTCTTGGGTTGAGCTCAGCTTTTGAGATTTGTAACATAAACACTTCCTGCTGAGCTATCTTCCCAGCCCTAAATCTTTTTTGCTTTGTTTTGGGTTTTTTGGTTGGTTGGTTGATTTTGGTATGGTTTGGCTTTGGGAGATAAGGTTTCTCTGTAGCCCTGGCTGTCCTGGAGCTTACTCTGTAGACTAGACTGACTGGTCTTGAGCTCAGAGATCCTCCTGCTTCAGCCTCAGTGTGAGGATTAAAGGTGAGTGCCACCACTGCCTGGGTCTAATTCTTATTTTTAAGACAGTTTCTTGCTGAACTCGGAGCTTACCATTTTCGCTAAACTGGCTGCCACTGAATCCTCAGGAACTACCTGTCTTGGCTCCTCAGTGCTGAGGATTCAGACATTTGCTGTCACTCCTAACTTTATGTGGTCATCCCAACCCATACTCATGCTTGCAAACACTCTTCCCACTAAACCATCTTCCCAGGTCTTAACTAGCTTAATGAAGCAGAAGTTACTGTTCTCATCCAAAAGATGAGGGAATTGAGTACTGTGAATGGCTCCCCGGCTAAACTAACTCAAGCCTTGTTTTAGTGGGACAAGCTTGGCTGTTGCATTATTCTTAGCAGTGGAAGGGAAAAAGCCTTGTGGATGAGATCAGATGACTCTGAAGGTGGGACTGAAATGGGGTGGTGGGGCAGTTACTCCAAGAGGAGGTCAAGATTTCTCACTTAGATTCTGTGCTGGCTAGTTTTGTGTCTACGTGACACAAACTACCATCTTCTAAGAGAAGAAAACCTCAGTTGAGAAAAATGCCTCCCTCCATAAAATAAGACGGTAAGCCGACAAACCTGTCAGGCATTCTAATTGATGATTAATGGGGGAGGGCCCAGCCCATTGTGGGTGGTGCCATCCCTAGTCTTGGGTAAGAATGCAGCTGAGCAAACCAGTAAGCAGCAACTCTCCATGGCCTCTACATCAGCTCCTGCCTTGAATTCCTGCCCTGACTTCCTTCAAAGAATTGTGATTTGGAAACATAAGCGAAATAAACCCTTTCCTCCCTTAGTTGTTTTGGTCATTGTTTCATCACAGCAAAAGAAACCCTAACAAGACAGTTCTCAAAATAACAGCAGCATACCACTAGCCTAAAGACTAATCCAAAACAAAAACAAAAAAACTAGATCTGTCTTTTACAGATTCCTAAAGGACAGGATTATTAGGGGATTTATACTGTTAATAGCTTTTTTTTAACAGTCTCCTTTATCCCCTGCTAGCCTCCCACCTGCTGTGTGTGAATTCCTGATCTTCCAGGTGCTGGGATTACAGGTGTGTCCCACTATGATGGCTTTGCAGTGTTGGGAATGGAGCCAGTCATTCTATCAACAGAGCTAGATTCCCAGCCTCCCAGCCTCTATTTAAAGCTAAAATTCCATGCAGGGAACTTGACTTAGCTACCATAATCACTCTAAAGACTGTCTTGTTTTGTTTCTTTGAGAGAGAGAAGAAGGTACTGGCTGAAGTTACAAGCAGATACTGGCCACCAACATTAATGCCAGAACCAAATTTGGATTCTTTGGGAAAGCAACAAGTGCTCTTAAACGCTGAGCCATCCATCGCTACAGCTCCTAAACACAGAACATAGCCTTTAATTCACAATGTATTTTCAACTCAACTGTATTTATTTACATGCATAAACACTCTACTTAGGATTGTGTCACTTTTCTGTTTCAATTAATAATCTCAGCATTTTAGATTCCTTTTCTTTCCGAGGCTGTTTTAGAACTCTCAATCCTCTTGCCTCGGCCTCTGGAGTACTAGGATTACAGGCCTGTGATAATACTCTCAGCTGGAATTATTTTTTAAATTCTATCTCCATGATGTATTTCTAGCCTTGTTCTTCTCAAAAACAATATTTTAAATCTTATTTGAAAAGTTAGAGTTGTCTTAGGCCAGGAGTTAGTAGTTAGTGTCCTGTCCCCATCCCCCATCCTTGCCCCCCCACAAAGGCCCTCACATATAGCTCTGACTGTCCTGGAACTCATAGATCCTCCTGCCTCTGCCTCCCAAATGCTAGAATTCAGGGGAATCTGTCACCCTGCTCATCACCTTGTTCTGGTGTCTGAGAGCACCTGCAAATTTCTCTAGTTTTACAGTTAACATTGCTCAGCAGGTGTCTGGATGCCTGCACTGTGTCTACTGTGCTAACAACAAAAAAAAAAAAACAGGACTATGTCATCAGAGATTTTACTTCTCTAGCCAGATGGTGCCAATTTTAGAATCTTCCAGTTATAAATAAAGCTGTCAACTCTTCTGATGCCCAGAAAAAGAGACTCAAGACATTTGATACTTGCCAAACATGGATTCTGTGCAAAAGTCCCAGTATTAACCCTGCTGTCCTCCAGCCGTTTCATTCCGTTTTATTCTGTGGTCTGGAGATCTTAACTGGTTGTAGTTGACATTGCTGTGGGAAAGCAGAACCAAAGAGAAACTCATGTTCATCAGCCAGCAAGAGACTGATGTTGGGGAGGTGTCACAGGGTCATTGGCAATTTGCTTTCTTCTGAAGGAACATGACATTTCCCCTTCTGTTTCTTCAGTAAATGGTAAACACTATTGTTTTCTGGTTTTTTTGAGGCAAGGTCCCCTGTAATACTGACCTTGAACTCCTGATCCCCCTGCCTTCACCTCCCCAGTGCCGGGATCACATTCATCATTGTGCCTCTGATTGTTTTTGCTCTGAGACAGGGTCTCCCTATGTAACCCTGGCTGTCTTAGAATTCATGACTATAAGTAAAAGATAGCCATCAAGACGAATCAACTATTGAAATAATATGTATGTGTTTTTGGCAGAAGCTGGTGACCTGTATTTGATCCTCAGAATCCACGGTGGGAGGAGAGAACTGATTTCCAAAATTATCCTCTGTCCTCTGCATCCTGTCACATGCACAGTGAAAAATAAAACAATTATTTTATATATTTGAATGTGTAGGACTGTTTTGCTTACCTGTATTATGTGGATGTCCTGTATGCTGCAAATATGTGTTGCTTTTATTGGTTGTCAAACAAAGCTGATATGACCAGCAGTCAGGCAAAGTAGAGCTAGGTGGGAAATCCTAACAAAGATATGGAGAGAAAGGAAGTAGAGTCATGGAGCAGGGAGATGCCAGAACATTGCCAGTAAGCCAAAGCCACGTGATGATAACACAGATTAGTAAAAAATGGGGTAGCTAATTGTGAGAGCTAGTCAGTAATATGCCTGAGCCATTGACCAAACAATTGTAATTAATATTAAGACTCAGAGTGATTATTTTATAAGTGGCACCAGGGGCTGGTGGAGGCGGGAGAGAAACCTGTCCAGTGGGACCCAACAAGACAGAAAAGTATCCAGCTACACATGTATGTGAGCACACTGCATGTGTGTGTACTGTGCCAGAGGGTGTCAGATCCCCTGGGACTAGTGTTAGTCAGTTGTGAGCTGCCATGTGGGTGCTGGGAATTGAATCCAGGCGCTCTTAATCACTGAGCCAACTCTCCTGCCCCTAAACCAATTTTTTTTTTTTTGGTTTTTTCGAGACACGGTTTCTCTGTGGCTTTGGAGGCTGTCCTGGAACTTGCTCTTGTAGACCAGGCTGGTCTCGAACTCACAGAGATCCACCTGCCTCTGCCTCCCGAGTGCTGGGATTAAAGGCGTGCGCCACCAACGCCCGGCCCTAAACCAATTTTTTTAAAGAAGTAAAAGAAATGTAAACATATTCTACAGCACAAAGTGGTGGGTGTTGTGATGAAAATAAAACAAGAAATTTAGGCAAGGCAGCTGGAGATTTCAGTCAGTTTGTAGCAGGTATGAAGAAACCCTAGGATTGATTTCAGATGTGGGAGTATTAAATAATCAAAGAGAAGTCAGTGGACTAAGTATGGTCCCTGGACAGATGTAATTCTTATCATAGGAGAAACTCCTACTTTTGTTTTGTTTTTGTTTTCTAATGGCTAGAAACTCACTATGTAGACCAGACCATCCTAGAACTCAGAGATCCAACTGCTTCTTCCTCTCAAGTGCCAAAGGTGTTTTTGCAACCATGCTGGTTTTTATTTGTCTTTGTTTTTTATCTGAGACAGGGTCTTGTGTAGCCCAGGCTGACCTCTATCACTGTGTATATAAGAATATCCTTAGACTTCCGATAAGCTAAATACACACACACAGAGAGAGAGAGAGAGAGAGAGAGAGAGAGAGAGAGAGAGAGAGTTTCACAGCTTCTCTGAACACTTAGCACACATTTCCCAAGCCATGGTGCTCTTTTTCATCACCACAGGGAGCTGTAGTCTAAAAATAAAGTCAATGCCAAAGAAATCTGAGCTAAGAGATGGAAAAGACTGGCTTCTCTATCAACCTTGAGTCTCTTGGCCCAGGCATACCTGATTTTCCCTTGACTTTTTGGTTATGTCAATACTTTTCTTCCATCACCTTGAAACTAGTTTCAATTTAATTGCTGTCACAGGCAACCAAAAGTGTCCTATTAGAAGTTGCATAAACTGTTGCCAGGCTATAGTGGTGCACACCTGTAATCCCAGCACTCAGGAGGCAGAGGCAGGCAGAACTCTGAGTTCAAGACCAATCTGGTCTACAGGGGGAGTTCCAGGATGTCCAGGGCTACACAGAGAAATTCTGTCTTGAAAAAAAAATCAACAAAATGTTGTATAAACTGATGACATGACTGCTCCGTGTTATGGTTAAGGGGGAGGTTTTATTGGAGATATGAGAGACAGAGAGGGGGCGCAGGGAGGGAGGGAAAGAGGGAGAGAGAGAGAGAGAGAGAGAGAGAGAGAGAGAGAGAGAGAGAGAGAGAGAGAGAGAAAGCAGACTGGACCTGCCTGGCCAGGACTATCCATGAGAGAGGGTAGACTAGCAGGGGATAGAAATAGAGAAAGTGGGCCGGGCGTTTGTGGCGCACGCCTTTGATCCCAGTACTTGGGAGGCAGAGGCAGGCGGATCTCTGTGAGTTCGAGGCCAGCCTGGTCTACAAGAGCTAGTTCCAGGACAGCCTCCAAAGCCACAGAGAAACCCTGTCTCAAAAAACCAAAAAAAAAAAAAAAAAAAAAAAAGAAAAGAAAGAAATAGAGAAAGCGTAATGAGAGAAGCAGGAGCAGAGAGAACATAGAGAGAGAACGTAGAGAGAGAACGTAGAGAGAGAACGTAGAGAGAGAACGTAGAGAGAGAACGTAGAGAGAGAACGTAGAGAGAGAACGTAGAGAGAGAACGTAGAGAGAGAACGTAGAGAGAGAACGTAGAGAGAGAACGTAGAGAGAGAACGAGAGAGAGAACGTAGAGAGAGAACGTGAGAGAGAACGTAGAGAGAGAACGTAGAGAGAGAACGTAGAGAGAGAACGAGAGAGAACGTAGAGAGAGAACGTAGAGAGAGAACGTAGAGAGAGAACGTAGAGAGAGAAAGTAGCTAGAAGAGAGGAGCATACGGAGAATGAGAAGCAGGAAAGAAAGCCCATGAGCTGGAGGGATTTAGGGTAGCAAAGGACCAGAACTTTGAAATGTATAACATGTATTTGTGATATCAGCATGCATTTTGATATGCTAATACGTGTCACAGGTAGCCATCTGGCCCTTCTGCCAGTGATAAGGGAAATGACTTCTTTTGGCAGAGGGGAACCAGCTTCACAAATTCCTGAGGAATGCTGGCTTCTAACTCCCAGAAATCCTCTTATAGTCCTGGTTGAGCCTGTTTCTGGATGTTTGGGCTGCCTTTTGTAGTTTGGAGAATTTCTGTTGGACCTGACAGAAATCAAAATTTTATTGGGGGTGCACTATATGTGCATGCATGTGGAGGCTGAGGTCTATGTCAGGGTCTTCCTCAACCACTTTCTAGTCAATGTGTGCGTGCATGTGCGGGTGTGTGCGGTGTTATATTAGAATGTATGAGTGTATAGTGTGCACCTGGAGGAGGGTGTTCTATGTCACTCTCCACCTCACAGTGTGTGTGTGTGTTTGTGTGAGTGTGTCTGTGTGTGTATGTGTGTCTGTGTGTGTCTGTGTGTGAGTGTGTCTGTGTGTGTCTCTGTGTGTGAGTGTGTCTGTGTGTGTGTCTGTGTGTGAGTGTGTCTGTGTGTGTGTCTCTGTGTGTGAGTGTGTCTGTGTGAGTGTCTCTGTGTGTGAGTGTGTCTGTGTGAGTGTCTCTGTGTGTGAGTGTGTCTGTGTGTGTGAGTGTGTCTGTCTGTCTGTGTGTGTGTTATGATGGAATGTATGAGTGCAGAGTGTGTGTACCTGGAGGGTGTCCTCTGTCAGTCTCACATTTCTCACTCGAGACTGTGTCTTACTGAGCCTGGAGTTCGTGTGTTTCCAGCTCAGCTGGCAGCCCAACAAGCTCCATGGATTCTCCTGTCGTCACTCCCACTCCAACCCCCATGTCACTGGAGTTATATGCAGTTATGTGGTACAGCCATGTTGCTGGGGATTTGAACTCAGGTCTTCATGGTAGGCTTGAGGCACACGTGGCAAGCACTTTACTCACTGAGCCATCTCCCCAGCCACATGTTACAGGTTTTTCAACCAGCAACAAATTGCAGGCTTCAGAACGTAAAGTCTGATCCTAACACACAGTCTGGAAAATGGCAGCAGATACAAAGACTACGGGGACTCTAGAACATTCTGAAAGTCATCCTAACCAACTCAGGGTGTGGAAACCTCACTCTGGGTCTTTTGGTTAGTAGGAGTCCCAGACTTTAAACAGAACTTCCAGAAGAAAAGCAAGCTCTTTCTGAAGTCGGGTGGGGAGCTGGCAGCTCCAACCACATTGTAAATGTGCCTGTCGCCTGGCCGTGATGGCACATGCCTTTAATCTCAGCACTCAGGAAGCAGAGGCAGGCAGATCTCTGTGAGTTCAAGGCCAGCCTGGTCTACAGAGCCAGTTCCAAGACAGGCTCCAAAGCTAAAAAAAAAAAAAAAAAAAAAAAGTGTCTTGCACAATGCAGCCTCTCTTGTCCTGATAAAACATTTATTTCACATACCTGCCTGGAAGGGGTGGCATGTGGGGGCAGGGCAACAACGAACCATTCTGCAGGTACGTGTTAGTGAGGAATTCCCATCAGGCAGCAGGGGCACCAGCCCTTAGGATCCACCTGGGGGTACAGTGGGTATAGGATTGCCCCATCCAGATGCTGCCTGTGTCAGGAAGTGAGGGCTCTTCTTTGATGTGAAAACAACCCGGTATTTACTTGGCCAGATCTTGTAGGCAGATACCATGGCAATGCTCTTACTTTCTCTTCCAAAAGCCTTGTGTTCTGATGAGCATAGTGGTGCAGACCAGCAGTTGGAGACTGAAGCAGGAGGATTGCTGCAAGGCTGAGGCCAGCATGGGCTACACAGCAAGACACTGTCTCAAAAAAAAAAAAAAAAAAAACAGGTCCAGGGAGATGACTTAGCAGCAGGAGGCGGACAGAAGAGATCTCAGGGAGCCAAGTAGGTAGCTAGACCACCTAGACAGGTGAGATCTAGGTTCAAGTGAGAGACCCTGCCTTAATACGTAAGGTGGAGGGTGATGCTGCCGGGCGGTGGTGGTGCACGCCTTTAATCCCAGCACTCAGGAGGCAGAGGCAGGCGGATCTCTGTGAGTTCAAGACCAGCCTGGTCTACAGAGTGAGTTCCAGGACAGTCTCCAAAGCCACAGAGAAACCCTGTCTTGGAAAAAAAAAAAAAGGAAAAGAAAATACCTGGTGCTAATTTTTAGCCTTCACATGTGCACACACACACATGCCCAGCTACTCTGATTTCAAGAGGACAACCATCATACTCAAGGTCATCTTCAGGTACGTAGAAAGTTTGAGTTTGAATTTGAGGCCAACCTGGGATACACGAGAACCATCTATGACAGAAAGAGGGAGGAGGGAAAGAGGGAGGGGGAGGGAGGGAGGAAGGGAGGGAGGGAGGGAGGGAGGGAGGGAGGGAGAGAAAGAGAGAGAGAGAGAGAGAGAGAGAGAGAGGAGAGAAGCCACACTCACCAGATTTGCCATGGGCCAATCAGCTCAACTCTGGGCATAAAATGCCCACTTATTGGGAGAGCAGAAAGCAGAGCTCTGGCCGAAACCACTTTGTCTTCAGCAGCAACTTTTAATCCCATTGTCTGGCGGATGAAATCAGTTCCCAGAACACCGAGGTTATTAATAACTTTGGGACCTTCTCCCAGACTCCGGATCAATGGGCAGAAGCCTCTGGTTATTCACTCCTGGATGCTCCTATTATTTTAGAGTCAGGAAATGACTTGCTCTTCACCAACCTGTGCTGATGTTTATCTTGCTTGGAGTTACATAGTGACCCCTGCATACCTCACCCCACAAGGAGGCCCCACCTGACCTTTGTAAGCTAAGTGTGTGGCTACGTCTTTGCTCACTGTCTCCTGGGAAGTCCAGTGTGCACCTCTCCGATGGCTCCTCACTGCCAAGTGCAGTTCAGAGTGTTGACAGGGAACCATGGAGCCTGCTGGATTTAGACTGAGGTCATTTTTCGATGGCTCCTCCCTTCAGGCTGGGTACAGGCTTCCTGGTCATGGGCTGGGCAGGTCATAGGCAGGGCCACGGTCTCATTCTGGAGGTCTTGTGGAGGATCCTTCTTCCAGAGAAACTACTACAGTTCACAGTTCCCCTGGCATGGAAGCGTCCTAAGTGCCTGTGTGCAGAGGGCACATTCTGCTCTCCGTCTCTTCTGACATCCTTCCTGAGGGCCCAGCCATGCTCATGGTCCCCAAGAATCTCACTGCAGCCACTCTGTTCCTCGCCTGCTTCCTCAGCTAGCTTCTGCAGACTTGCCTGCCCACAGCCAAACCGCAAGAGAATAATAAGAACCCAGAGACAGCTTCAAACTGAAGATCACAGAAGCAAAGCAGCCAGCCACCAGTTCTTACCTCTACCTCAGACTGACAGGGTGATCAGGCTGGCTCCACAAATCCTCAGACTGCTGCGCTCTCCTCGGTGTGGCTGGAGACTAATTGCCTCATGAGACCCTTTCCTTCTTCCTTTTATACCTCTCAAATCCTGGGATTAAAGGCATGTGACTCCCAAGTGCTAAGATCACCTTTATGTGAGCTGTTTCTCTTTAGGGCTACATCAATTCGTATAGTTCAGTGTAGTCTTGAACTAAACAGTCTGCTTGTCTCTTGAGTCCTGGGAATAAAGGTGTGTACCACTTCCACCCGGCTCTACGGCTAGCTAGTGTGGCTGCTGCGATTAAAGGTGTGTATCACCATTGCCTGACCTCTATGACTTGTGACTAGCTTTGCTTTATGAACCCCCAGGCAAGCTTTATTAAATCATAAATACTATATTACCACACGGCACCCTAATACTGCTAGGTACAATGGGGCACACAGGCCAAAGCTGTTAGCCGAGCTGAGAAGTAAGTCTGAGAACATGCTGTGGGAGGCTTAGTGGTATGACTGGCAGGCAAGTAAAGGGACTCGCATTAAGGGTAGCATCATTGGGACCTGGGGAGATGGCTCAGTAAAGTACATTCTGCATAAGCTTGAGGACCTGAGTTCCAATCCACAGCACCCATGAAAAAGTCAAGCAGAGCAGTGTGTGCCCAGCTTCTCAAAGCTGGGAAAGCATACATAGAACCATCTCTGGGCTTGTTCGCCAGGTAGTCTAGGCAAGTCACTGGGCACCAGTTTTAATGAGAGACCCTGTCTCAAAAAATGAGGGCTCAGCTAGTAAAAACACTTGCCCCACAAGCCTGGTGAAGTGAGTTCAATTCTTGGAGTCCATACAAAATTGGAAGGAGAGAAGCAATTTCTCAGAGCTGTCCCCTGACCTCCATGAACACACGGTAGCACTTTTATGTCCCCCATCACTCACACACACACACACACACACACACACACACACACACGCACACGCACGCACACACACAGTAATAATAAATTGAAGACGCTGGAGAGGTGGCTCCATGATAGTTGCTTTTCCAGAGGACCCAGGTTCTACTTCTAGCACTCACATGTCAGTTGGAGTCACCATGTTACTCCAGTTCCAGTGGATCCAATGCCCTCTTTTGGCTTCTGCAGAAACTGTGTGCATGTGGTGCTCAGACACACATGTAGGCAATCAGTCATACACATACAATAAAAAATAAATAAAATCTAAAAAAAATCAATGTTAAACAGTAAGGTAGAGAATGATTGAAGAAGACATCTGACATCTCTACATCTGGCCTCCAACGTGTGTGCGCACACACACACACCCATGTATGTGAACACGAATATACGTTTATACATATCACACATGCATGCAAACAATCAGACAAAAAGTGTGGTACTGTGATCTCCAGCACCAGCCCCGTCTTTCTCTGGAGAACTCTACTTACTTACAGCGTCCAAGTTTGGGCCATCCCTCATTCTGAGCATCTTTCACTGTGGTAAACTGTACCTGAGTTTACCATGTCAACCTTTTTTCTTTACTTTCTTCTTAAGATAAAGTCTTGTTAATTAGTTCCTAGCTGAAGCTAGTCATGAGCTCCTGACTCTTCTAGCTCCTAAGTACAGGCATTAAAGGTGTGTACATACTACTGTGTGAGCTACTGTGCTATTGCTGTGAATGGACACTATGACCAAGGCAGCTTACAAAGACAATAGTTCATTTGGGGCTTGCCTACAGTTTCAGAGGGTTAGTCCATGACCACAATTACTTGGTAGTCCTGGGTTCTATGATAAAGCAGGTGGAGCAAGCCATGGAGAGCAAACCAGTAAGCAGCACCCTCCATGGCGTCTGCATCAGCTCCTGCCTCTATGGTCCTGTCTTGACTTCCCTCCATGGACTGTAATATGTAAGCCAGATAAACCCATTCCTCCCCACGTTGCTTTGGTCATGGTGGTTCATCACAGGACTAGGCACCCCAACAACTACTAAGCCATCCCTGCAGTCCGTGCTCTATTTTTCATTTATCTTGAATTATTTTAGATTTATTTAATTGTATTGTTTGAGTATTTTGCCTGCATACATGTATATGCACCATGTGTATGCCTGGTGACCATGAAGGTCCAAAGAGGGCATCAGATCCCCTGAAGCTGGAGTCACAGATGGTTGTAAGCTAGGGTCCTGGGAGCAGAACTCAGGTTATCTGTAAGGGCAGCGAGCTCTTAACTGATGAGTCATCTCTGGTCCTCTATTGTTTTTACTTACCTTTTTTTTTTAATTGACCATTTTGTACATGTATACAATGCATTGTGATCATACTCCCTTCCCACTCCCCTGGCTCTTTCCTTCTTTCCCACTGGTCCCTCCCTACTTTCAAGTTTATGATCCAGTGTGGGTTTGTGGGGGGATTGTGGCGGGTTGTGTGGGGTGTGTGTGTGTGTTTGGTGGGGGGGATTGTATGTGGGGTGTGTGGGAGGAATTTTGGGGGCTTGTGTGTGTGTGTCTTGTGCAGGTAACCACAGCTGCTGTGAGTTCCTGAGAGTAATGGCTGTGCCACAGCCAGAAGACAGTGTTTCCCAGCTCTCCTCTACTATCCTCTGGCTGTTACAGTCTTCCTACTCCCTCTACTGAATGTTCCCTGAGCCTTGGAGGGGGTAAAATAGATGTTGCTTTTAAAGCCAAGCAATTAAGAGTTACTTATCTCAGTTATGAGTCTCAACATTAATCATCGCCCACAGCAAAAAGCTTTCTGACTTGGGCTGAGAGCAACACTAGCCTATGGCTATAAGTAGAAACACAAATATTAGGGGCACTTTGGCTACATGCCTGTTCAGGGAAACATAAGAGTACATTCCCACCTAGTGAACTAGCCAGGTTTTTTGTTGTTGTTTGGTTTTAGATTTTTAAAAATGTGTGTGAATGTTATGCATGAGTATGTATGCATACCATGTGCACATCTGGCATCCTAGGAGATCATAGGAGGGCATCGGGCCCCCTGGAACTGGAAGTAAGGATGATTGTGAACACCATGTGGGTCCTGGGAATTGGGCACAGGTTCTCTGCAGGAACAACAGTGCTCTTACCATTGAGCCATCTTTCCAACCTCTGGTCCACCTTTTTAAAAAACAGAATTGTAGGGTGGCAGGAAAAGAAAAGATGGCTCAGTGGTTAAGAGTTGCTATTTTGAGGTCCTGGTTTTGATCGCAGCACCCACATGGCAGCTCACAAATGTCTGAAACTCTGGTCCCAGGGAATCTAATACCCACTTCTTCTGGCCTTCCAGAGTAACAGGTACGCAAAGGTACATATGCAGGCAAAAAAGTGCACATAAGATAAAAAGTTTAAAAGCTTTAAGAAATGAATACAAAGAAAAAAGTGTTAGCATCCTTTTGTGTAGGTCAGTGGTCCAGCACTTATCTCAAAAGTGGGGAAACTTGGACTCAATCCCAGCATATTGTAGATGAATTATAAGTGAGCTAGTGTTTAGACAGAAAAAAATTTCATATATACGTATATGGTTTACATGTGCGTGTATGGGTGTGCATATGTGTGGATTCACATATGAGTGGGTCTACATGTGTGCACATACATATAGAAACTAAATGTTGATGCCCAGTGTCTTCCTAGATTGCTGTCCACCTTGTATATTGAGGCAACTTCAGCTAGTCTGGCCAGCTGGGTTGTCCTGTGGATTTTCCCTCTCTTTGCCTCCCACTGGCTGGGATTATAAGATTGCCACCACGCCCATTTCCCTTTCAATGCATTCTAGGGGTTTGAACCCTGGTCCTCCAGCTTAGGCACCAACTACGTTATCCACCAAGCCATTTCCTCAGCCCCTATTCTGGCTAGTTTTATGTCAACTTCACACTAGAGCCATTTGGGAAGAGGAACCTCAATTAAGCAAATTCCCTCAGTAGATTGGCCTGTGGCAAGACTGTGGTTCATTTTCTTGATTGATGATGAGGGAGGACCTAGCTCATCATGCTGGTGCTGCTCACTGGCTGGTGGGCCTGGGTGCTGTAAGAAAGCAGGCTAAGCAATCTGTGGCGAGCAAGCCGGTGAGCGCCACTTCTCCGAGGCCTCCGCTTCAGTTCCTACCTCTTGGTTGCCGCCCTGACTCCCTTTGTTGAAGGACTGTGATATACAACTGGAAGCTGAAATGGACCCTTTCCTCCCCAAGTTGCCTTTGGTCATGGTTCTTTATCCCAGCAACAGAAACCTTACCTAAGACAGCCCCTTACACAGGGCACCAATGTCTAGGGTTTCACAATGTACACACACGAGAGAAGGCTAAGTAAGCTTTGTGTGGGTCAGGCCCAGGGTGGAACTTCCTCTCTTGGTTTCTAGCACCAGTGCCCTCCAGTGTCCCTTCGTCCCTTCTCCCTGCCATGTCCTTCCTGCTCACCCTGTGTCCTAGCAGCTTCATAATCTGTGGGTTCTCTACCCTGACCCCTGCCTGTGGAAGTGATCTGCCCTCACTGCCCTCCCCAGGCACGAGCCTGGAAGCTGCTGACAACTTGTGTGGCTGAGCGTTAGGTGGCATGGTACCTTTAGAAACTTTGTGGGAAGCCACAAGAGACCTTGCCTTTCTTCCTGGCATTGGTGCAGGTGCTTCCTTAGTCTCCAGCCTCCTCTACTCCTCCTGTACCTCAATGTGCCTGCCTCCATTTCTTGAGTTCTGGGACTAAAGGCATGTACCACCGAGTAGTCATTTTTGTTTTGCGTGAAGATTTATGTTTCTGTGTGTGTCTGTATGAGTGTACCATTGGAAGTCAGAAGAGTGTGTCAGATCCCCTGGAGCTGGAAATACAGGTAGCTGTGAACCGCTTTA